TGAGGAAGGGGAGGAAGAGGATAAGGGGTATAAAGAAGGTTATTGGGGGGAGAAGGAGGGGCGACTATCAGGTTGTGTACAAAGAAGGAGAATGTTTGAAGGAGACTGGTTTAGGAGCCCGACGATGCCCCCTTGACTCGGAGCCTCATAATCCTACGTCTAGTCTGTAAACATTTTCGTCATGTCGTTGTTGCCCCTTGTCTTGCACTGTGAGTGATACGTTTGAGTTGTCGAGTGAGAGATGGGAGGAAGAAAACCATCCAACGATATTAAATGTTAGTGTCTCTTTTATCTAAACCAAAATGATCATCCCCATGTTCCATCTTGTTTGATTTTGCCTTTTACTAAATTTAATATAGATATTAACAAAATTTATCATAGCTACCTTTCTTTGTTGGAAGTTTAACATAATGGTTAAATCATTTTGACTTTTTCTTTACTTTTATAATTTTTGTTTTATGGTTTCTCATATTTTTGTTTTAAGTTGCACACCCTAAGGTGAACCATTTTCTTTCTCATAGTACCTCGCCCTCTATATTATTATGAATATTATCAACCTTGTTCATTTAAATAAGTTACGTTGGAGTACCATCCCGTTGGATAAAAAACTGCCAATGTAACCAATATGATAAACTTAATGTACTATAGGAAGACCACACTTGTTAGTTGTTCTCATAATGTTTCGCACCAACACCAAAGTAGTAGACGAGAAAATTGTAAGGGAAGAGGTCATTGACTTCGAGGAGGAATGACCACAGTAAGAAAAAATATCAGATAGTTGGTTTATTTATTTAAGATTTAATCGCGATACTATTTAATCGGATATTGGAAAGCAGCGACGAAAAATATACCAATATAATGTCAGGCATGAACATGCTCTATAAGTATGATAAACATAGCAGGTTATTAACACATGATGCTTATAGTGGGGAGTTTCTAACCTATCTCCGGGAGATTACAAGGTTTTACTTTATGTGACCTCTTATATTTTCTTTTTACTACGTATTGCCAGACTTGCATGGGTTGGTCCGAAGACCATTCCTACTCTTTCGGATAAAAAGGCAGGGCACATATAGAAATTTTCACTTGATATGCGTATATAATGTTTTTTCCTCGTTGAACATCACCTTTACCTTCGTGACAATACTTGTTGGGAGGTAACGATCAAATTGCTTACTGTGCACCGGTTTGACTTAACGTGCTCCTGACATATCAAGGTCATATGCTTGTAGCAACACATCATGCGGTTGTCCGTTCAACCTTACATTTTCATGAGGAAGGACGAATTGCACTTTGGATTACCAACCTTCCTTTTGTATGGTTATGTCTCTTTTAGGCGTTATTTCTCATGTAAAATGTATGGTCTCAATTATTTATCGTAACTTGTTTTTAATTTTTTTGGTATTTTTTAATTGCACCTTAAATTGTTAGGTGAGCTTTTCATATAGCATAGTATATATCATAGAAATCGCATGTGTATAAGATTTTGTTTTGAACCAGGATAGCCAGTGAAACTTTGTTTTAATCGTAGTCTATTTTTGCTAATATGTACGGGTTGCAAAAAATAGGTTGTCTTTATACCTCATGCCATCGTGCTGATGTCAACTGTTTATACTACATTATTCGGAGGTCGGACGCCACCAGATCAAAATGTATGGCGCCGCCAACCAATGTAAAGAAAAAATGACGTGTTGGCGATTAGGCAAAGCTTAAGACGTAAGCCGCTTCGACAATAAAAAACTCGTAGGTAGTTTTTTTTCTTTTTTTTTGCTAATCACCATTACCTTCCTTGATGTGGAGAAAAAATGAGAATGTATCCTATACCAGATTCTTTGGGGATTGGGCCCAATGACGCTCGCTGTTGATAAATTCCATAGACAGCCGCTGTTGTATTTCGGCCTCCAAAACTCGTGGGGACCCATCCTCCATTCGATATATGAAAAAGACAGTGGTACCTTAACTAAAGATTTTATGATGTTCGAATGTTGACGCTAAAAATCCTCACAACCAACCTGGTATACAAGAATAAGTATCTTCCAACTTACCTTACAGGGTGTTCCCTGCATAACCTATCACCAAATTGAACCGCAACTCTCAGACTGCAACAAATGCTTAGCTTTCCTACTTCTACCTTACTGTAAACCTGCTAAATAAATTGGAACTACTAGTACACGATCCCATCCTTAGTAAAAATGTTTTGTCACATGGTTCGAAAACCTTGGCACTAACATACTGTAGATAAAATAAATTGGCAACCGATATCGCATTTCGGCCTCTTACAGGGGTCCGCAACCGATGTAAGGTATATATTGGTGGATTAAGTTAGTGGTGGTGTTTGAAAACCAAACTGCACTTTTATCGTAATTTCACATGCAGTGGTGGTGTTTTGAAAACCATCCTAAGCTTATGCAGGGGACCCCTGCAAGTATAGCTACTTCTCACAATCCAAGGGGGAACACGTTCCCTTTCACCTTAATAGGCGGTGGTCAAGGAATAGGGT